GGAGTACCGCTCCAAGATGGCCGCCCTAAATCTAGTCAGCGACAATAGGCGAGAGCGGTCCATGAGGGTCTATCCTTATATTGTGTCTATGCGTCTAGGTATTCATGTCCATGGAGGAGGATACAGGCGCTTTAGACAGCTCGCTATGCTAGTTGCAATATTAGCATGCTAATTCTAATAAATGGACAGCAGTCATTTTTTAGAGGTGTTGGAAATAAAACCTCCTCCACTGAGTCTGACACAAAGAAGGACTGCACAAATATCACCATGGAAACCTCAGTACTAACAGCTGAAAGCAGCATGCGAGCTGACGTGCTAGCTATGTTTACGCTATAGCGAGCCGGCTAGCATTCAGTCACAGCCCTGAAGAGGAGGAGCTTTGCTTCATGTGGCTTTACTCTGATTAGATCTTCATCACCATGGTAACCAGGGGCAGTGCTGCAGCTGTAGGTGTTCTGCTACCTGACGCTCCGGAACCAAAGGTAAAAATAAAAGTTTTAAAGATGGAAGATTAAAATGTTGAGCAGCGATCCAGGAAACCGTCCAGATGGGGTCCATCAGTCTGTCCTGACCGGACCGACTGGTTCTGCAAACCGGTTTGGACTCATTTGAGCTGAAGGAACCATATGAGAGCCCAGATTCTGATGAACCCGATCCAGATAACCCGGTTGCCTTCCTGACATCCTGGATCTGACTTGATCCATGGTCCTCCAGCGGTTCTGTTCGGCCGCTCCAAGATATCCACGTCTAGTTCTGTTTGATTCTGGTTCTGTTTATTACTGGAGCAGTTGACGGAGATCCATAAAAGTTCTGCTTCCAGAACCAACAGGGTTCTCCCTGCTGTCCTCCACCCAGACCTCTCTCCCCGTTGCCATGGCGCCGCGGCAGCATGACTCATCGTCCAGGCCCCGCCCCCTCCCAGGCCCGGCTCCTGATTGGTCCGGGTGGACCGGCTGCAGCCGGCAGATAACGATAAGGAGCCTCAGATAAGAAACAGGAAGTGGTTCTGCTGCAGCGTCCCGCTCTAAAACCAGAACCACCAACGGCCCGGTCAGAACGGGATCGGCAGAACTTCCGACTGTCAGCAGAACCTGGCCAAATGTTGTAGAACCATGAGAATAGTTCTGAAGTTCAAACGTCTACCCTGAGACCAATTCTAGTCCGAATCTGGACCCAAATGGATGAAATCCCTGGAATAACCTGCTGATTCCTCCATTCTGACCCGGTTCAGCTCTTCAGACCCGGTTTCCTTCTTGGAGTCCAGAGAGGATGAAGGTCAAAGCTGCAGCTGACGATTAATCGGTTCAATAATCAGCTCGTTCTGCAGATTTTATTCCACGTTAGAAACGCGTTAAAGAAGTAAATTAATTTATTTCCTTTTTGAAAGCAGAAATAATTTCCTGCCAGCAGAAAATCCATCTGCAGCTGAAATCCCCCCGACACGAGAAAAGCTGAACATCAATATATTGTTTATTGATTGACTGAATGCTAAAGCCGATTAATGGGAGATTATTTCCAGAATGTGAAGCTAAAACTGAACTAGAGTTCAAACTAAAATGTTTTTATTTTATCCTCCTGACTACCAGGAAAAAAAAATATTGTCCAATCACCATTTTTTTTAAATCCCACATTCTTTGTAAGGTAATAAAAGTTTTTTTGCACTTACTTTGTCTCTTCCCATAAAATGTGTTACTACTGATGAACGCAGTTTTTATGAATTAGAAAAAGATACGTACAAAAGTCCCACCCCTTCACATGTGGTATCATTGAAAAGCCCTAAATGTCCTCTCCAGATACCAAAAGGAATTAATTCAGTAGAATGCAGGGGGTGGGAGATATTCAACTTTAGAAATGTCCTCTACAGAGGACAAAAATGAACTACTGGTAGTCAGGAGGTTAAATGTTTATATGTATTTACATTTTTATTTTAATTATTGATTTGGGTTTCTTTCAGTCTGGATTCAGTTTTTTTTTATTTTTTTTTTTAGGTTTTATGGGATCTGGTGGCCTTTATTCGATAGTGATTTGACAGGAAATGAGAGAAGAGCAGGCCGGGAATCGAACCTGCAACCCCTGCGCCCCACTGAGCCCCCTGAATGATCCGTTAATCCATAATCTATTACTGAATTAATTTAGGATACATTCAGTAGAAAACAGAACCAGAACCTCTAAAACCTTCTGTTCATCTCCAGAACTGCTGAAGAACTGGACTGAAACGGGTCAGTAGAACGGATCAGAACCGGTTTTGTCGGCTGCAGTCTGTTTCTTTTCCTGACCTGGCGGACAGAACATCAACTCCTCCATGTTCTAGGTTCTATAGATCTAGGTGCAGGCAGGTCCAGTCAGGTGCGCATGCGCACTGGAGATAACCCTTCAAGTAAAAAAAGAAAAGAATAGTTTTTGGATTTTTTTATTATCTAACCCTCTTTACTATTAAAATTGTGGAGAAAAATGATCTTTTGGGTGAAAACGTCTTGTAAAGTCTGTTGTGGGAACGCCAAAGCCTGAATCCGATTGGTCAGTTTGCTTTTGTTTATTTGGCAGCTTGGTGTTTTTTCTGTGAGCTAAAAATGAAAGAGGGAGTTTGATCCTCCCGTAGTTCAAAGAGCCGTTTGGATCCCGCCTGAGCTTTTCAGCTGTGTGGTTCTGGTGGGTCGCCGGTTTTATGGTTTGGCGAACGGAAGAGCTGATGGGTCACCGGTTGGCCGACCGTGAAATCTGCCGCTCTTCCTGAGCGTGGCGCTACACCTGCGGGTTAAACAGTGGAAATGTTGACCAAAGAGTAGAAATGAAGCAGACATTGTTGCTTCTCCTCCTCTGGACGTCTCAGAGCCACCGGAACCTGGGAATCTCCTTCCTCCTCCCGGTCCACATCATGTCTTCTTATTTAGCATAATTTGTGGAAAAATAAATGAATAAAAATTTATAAAAGTGTCAGCTGTTTCAGTGGGCCATGCGCATTACGCGCTGTGGTTTAGGTTTGTGCTGGTTTCATGAGCATTGTGCCCTTGCAGGTCAGGAGCAGCGATACTTCAGTGCTGCCCTCCGATAACCTGCAGGCGCCCTGGGTCCAGCGGTTCTGTTTTTAAATCGCTTAATGATTAGAATCGGACCGGAACCGAGATCCTTTAGAATGTGGCAGTTATCGATCAACGGCTTTGATAAACATAGATATTAAAATATTGGCGGCCGTCTGGAAAATAGAGTTCATGTTTCTTTCATGTTTTCAACACAAATTAAAAACTGGATTTTCTCTCTTGATGCTGAAAACGCCTCGATGGAATTCAGATGCTTCTGGAAACCATCGCTAAACTTTCACTAAAATCATAAAGTTTCTGTTCTGACGCATCTGCCAGGTGCTGACACCGATATCAGCTCAGAACCAGAACCGGTTCATCACCAGGTCTAACGAGGAAGCTCTGAAGTGATAGATTGAACATTTACTGGTTTATTTTCCAGGTTTGGGCTCCAGCTCCATCAGGTCTTTATAAATCAAGGTGATGGAAACTACTTCCTGTTAACTCTGGAAATATTCTGAAAAAGCTGCAGCTCGTGTTGGACCGGGATCAAACACCGAACCGAGCCTTCGGTTTTCAGACCTGACAGCCTTTGACTCACTGACCTGATTTCTGCGGGAGCTCCAGCAGGCCGTGCGGGGCCGCAGCACCTACAGCTAGGCCCGAACCGAACCGGCCCTCCTAGTCAAACAAAGCGCAGAGACCCCGCACATCCGCCACCTGAGTGAATCTGCTCCATCAGATGCGGACAGGCACAAGCGCGCGCCGGGCGCGTGCACAGTGCACACATTATGTAACCCCCCCTCCGCGGCCCCCACCGGGCCGGATGGATGCTGCCGGGGGAAGCGGCGCCGCCAGGCCGCCGGAGAGGCTCCAGCCGCGGCCTGGTGGCCCGCGGCGGCCCGCTGAGCGGATCAGGCGGAGACGCAGCTCAAAGCCAATCATGGAGAATTAGAACAAAGCCGGTACCTGACCATCCGAAGCCGAACCGAACCCCCTGTGCTGCTCCGCTCCGCTTCCAAAACAACCGCTAAATGAACAAATCCTCAGAAGTCCCGATGCGCCCGAACCGCGGGCCGCCGCAGCGCCGCCATCCCGCAGAAACCCGCAAAGAGCCGCAGAGAGCTGGATCCACCGCCGGGGATGCTGGGCCGACAGTCCGCTGCGAGCCGCTGCTCCTCCGCCGGCTGTCCGAGGCAAAATGGAGGCGGAGCGGAGCTGCGGTGACGCGCCGCCGCCAGCAGGGGGCAGCAGGAGCTGACCTTCAGGCTGCGTCTCGCCCTGCGGTTACACAACCGGTCCACGCAGAAGAAGACCTGCTGCTGCTGCTGCTGCTGATGATGATGCTGCTGATGATGATGAAATCAGGTCTCCGATCATCTGGACGCCTTATCACGTGACTAAATGAAGGACTTCCGGTCTGACGGGCCGGACAACCAGAGGAAAAAAGTTTGGCTAAATCTTACGATGAGCTGCGGAGGCAGCAAGGTCCCCGGTTCGAATCCCAGCCGGTTCTGCGGTGGACCCGCCCAGGATGGACCTGGGCGGGTTGGTGGCAGCGTTCATCGTTTCTTCGTCAGGGCGAACCTCCACGATGATCCACTTTTTAAAGTTTTTTCAGAGTTAGTCTGCGGCACATAAAGTTTGCTACTGTCAGATCCGTCTCTCTCAGGTCCAGCAGAGGACGGATGGACTCAGTGGACCTCTAACCGTCCAGCAAGCCAGAGCACGACGCAGAACCGAGAATTAAATCATGTTTATTATCAGAGTCTCATCTGCTTCTGGTTATAATAGGACAGAAACATAAATATTATAAAACATCTGAAATCTGAACTGGAGAAGAGGATGATGAAGATTTAACTTAATGAAATTTAAAGTCGGATCTCCGCCTGGACTCCCAGGAACCGGGTCAGAACAGAACCTGTGCTGCTGATTGGATCCCGTTATGTTCGGCGATCAGACAGGGAGTGATGGGAGGAAGATGGTTCTGATGGAGGTTCTGGTTCTGATCTTCATCTAAACTGGTTCCGGCCTGGAAACCCGGATCCCATCAGAACCGAACCTTTTGACCCTTCACAGAGCCACGGCTCGGCTGTTGATGCCGAACCGGAAGCCAGATTTCTGCCTCTTCCTCCAGCCTCTGCAGCTCATTGGCTGAGCCTTCGGCTCTGGCACAGGGCCGCGCCGGAAGCAACAGCTGCGCCGCGGCTGATGGAGTGCCGATCTGCCGCCGTGTCGTTCCTCAGCTGGGCGCTGGTGGTCAGCGGGGCGGCCTTCCTGCTGCGGCAGACGCGCCGCTGCGGACAGTACGGCCGCTACGCGGAGCCGGGCGGTCGCTGCTGGCCCGCCGGCCCGGCATGGTTCCTGCAGGAGGTTCCGGCCTTCCTGGTTCCGCTGCTGCTGCTGGTGGGTTTTGGAGAACCGGGCGCTGCCACCGGGAGGTCGCTGCTCGTCTGGACCTTCATGCTGCACTACTTCTACAGGTCAGAGGGACCGAACCGGGACGGGTGGGAGGTTCTGGAAAGGTTCGGGGTGTTTTGGGTCATTTAGTGACGCAGTGAGCTCAGGTCCAGAGTTTCGGAACCAGGGGCGCCGCCAGGAATCTTGGGCCCCCTGACAAAAACTTTGTTCAACCTTTTCTGAGCCCAGGTACATTGTTTTAATTGAAACAATCAGAGGAACACCACCAACCAAAAATGTAAACAAA